CGGGGCGCTGCCTGGCTCCTGGCACGGGGTGGAGGGTGCGGCGGGGCGCGGGCCTTGGTTTGGCTTCCACGCCGTGCCTCCCGATCCCGGCCCCCGGAGGAGCGGCGTGGAGGTCGGCCGCTACTCTCCCGCCCGGCCGCAGCTGCGCGCCTTGCAAAGATGTGCTTCAGAAGTGCCTGTTGGTTTACAGGACGTGGGAAGGGGGCCTTGGGCGTCTTCGAGTCTCCTTCGAGTCTCCGATTGACCTCAGTCATTTCAGATCTTCCTAACTTCTTTTCTCTTGTCCGAGAGGCTGTGTCGTACATAGTAGTAAAGAGCGTGGAATCCGGAGACTGAGTGGCTCGGTTCAATCGCCAGACTCACCATTTACTAGCTCTGTGACCTGGACCAAGTTTTTTTTTTTTTTTTTTTTTTTTTTCTTTTAAACGTCCCCATGCCCAGTTTTCTCATCCCGAAAATGGAGACAATAGGAGTACCTACCTCGTGGGGTTGTCATGAGGATTCAACGCGTGACACGTCTGTAAACCTTTCCGAATAGCGCCTGGCACATAGGAGGTTCCATGTGTTGAATAGTATTGTTATTTGAGTGCGTAGTTTGGTGTGCATTTGCTGAACACGTGCGCTCGGCTCTGAGGAGGGTTCAGACAGGGTCAGGCTGTCCAGAAACAAACTTCCTCCACCTTCCCTCTCCATCTGAGCTTTTCTTGGCAGTCAGTTCAAGAGCAGTTAAGCAGAACCTGGAGGAAACTGCCCTCCCCCTTAACTCACACACTCAGGGTAAAAGTAGCTAAAGAAAACAGCAGTGATACTTGGGAGGGTGGTGGGGGTTAGAGGTTAGCACTGTTTATGGCCCCGGCTTTTAGATGGGCCTAACACACTAAGCTTCTAGCATTTTGACCTGTAGGCACAGTGCGATAATGTTAGTTAATATAACTGCAGCCAAGCTTTCACTTGTAATTCTGGCTCTAGCAATTCCCCTAGGACGTGATGCAACTCTGCTTAGTGTGGGCAAAGATGGTCAAAAGGTAGGAGTGAACCCTAGGAATCCCATTGACTAAAATAATGACAAAACACAATTTGATTAATCAGATATTAGCATTGAAATTGTAATTGGACCTACCTGAGAGGCACATTTTGTATTGTTTTGTATTTCTGCATTTACACGTGATATATATAACATATATTGAGCTCTTAATATGGGCCAGGCACTAGGCTAGATACTTCACATGCTTTGTCTCATTTAATCCACACAGAGTCGGTTTTTAGTTGAACAGAAGTAACAGAAACATGTTTTCAACATTACACAGGACCTTAGGTGCAGGAGTTAGCTGAAGGTAGCATTTACTTATAGCTTTGAGATTGGACAATTAATAGAAGAGAAATAGAAGCTTTGTTATTGAAGCGTCACACTTCATCAGTGGAAAGGAAAAAATTTCAAAGGTACTACTGAAATCAAGTTTAGAAGGTTTCAAGAAGTTGAATTGGGATTTGAAATAAAAAAATGTTAAATGTCCTACCTTTCTACCAGTTTCTGCTTTTAGGAGATATCATCTCCTTTGGGGATATCTGTTGGTGGAGAGCTTGCACCAGCAGGGGCTCAGAAACATCTTTAAATCTTTATTGTCAGACGCTTGATGCAGTTTTATTATTTCTTCTGAAAGTCAGACATCATTTCCTAAATTGATATGCAGGGTCTTTTTTCTCACCTTACAGTAGGAAGAAAATTGAGTTCCAGAGATAATGTCACTTTAGAAAGAGCCCAGGTAGGCTGGCTGGTTAGCTTAGTTGGTTAGACTGTGGTGTTGGTAACATCAAGGCCCCACGTTCTGTTCCGGCCGGGGGGGGG